TCTGCAATTTTTTGTAAAAGCCTTAAAAACAGCCTAAAACGATACTTGTATAAAAGTCAAATTTGTCACGTTTATATCTTGGTTTATGAAGTATATTACGAGTTATCCTAGTGATTGTACTTGCGGATGGGTACTTGCTGACTTGCCAATGAATTTGGACACTATCGGACGAGAAAATCAATCTCCAAACTCGGCCGTTTTTCATTTTCTACTCATTTTTGAGCTCATTCGTACATCAATCAAGGGTTTTGTACGAATTGAATTCATAGTTTATAGCCGAGGTATACTGGTGCAATATATATAAGTCATATTCAATACAATAACACCGTTTTTAGGTAAAAGAAATGCATGTGAAAGTCTTTGTCTAAGCAAAATTCCACCATATTGCGGGCATATGCTCACACATGTACGAAGGTTGTTTTTGCACACGCTCTTGGCTATAGATAGTTGAAGCATAGGTAATCGAGGTCAACTGCTATGAGCTCTTAATATACTTCGTAAACCAAGATATAAACGTGACAAATTTGACTTTTATACAAGTATCGTTTTAGGCTGTTTTTAAGGCTTTTACAAAAAATTGCAGAAGTTTTGGACAAAGTAAGTCGCAGTGAAAAGGTTTAGGGAATCTCTCGAGATATGCTAGTGCTACCCGCTGTGACGATCGTTCATATAGCGTCCACTAGTATCGCTAGTGCTGAATATCTTATTTGGATTGTTTTTGACCTTTATCAGAAAAATCGAAAAAGTTCAATGTTAAAGTTTAAATTTAAAGAATAGAGAAAATAAAGTGAAATTAGAAAGAGACTTTCTAGAGATCCCCTAAAGAACCATGATCCCGTAATACTAGAATCTCACCAAACCACTACGTTTGTTCAGATTTTAATTCTCTATCCAACCGCGTTTGAACCAAGGTTCCATCGCTTACCTAAACTGAGCTATTTCAATTTTAAAAAAGGTTGAATTTTTTAAATGTCAAGCCAAACTCGAAAACTGAAATTTTGAGTTGAAGACTTGATTTTTTTCTCAAAATGTTCGCCTTTCGACGCTGAATTCAAATATATCATTAAAAATATTTCATGTCTTAAGACTGATTTTTAAAAATCGTTTTAAGAAGTACAAGTAGCGCAAAAACCACGGTTTTCTATAAAACCCTACTTCTGAGAGTTTTAGAGAAAACTTTCTGGAGAAGAAAAGAAAGAGGACGTTGAGAAACCCTTAAGCGCCAAGTTTCATAAAGTTTTGTTCAGTGATTCTCGAGATAGCCTCGTATAACACACTTATTTCGTTAGTTCTGAATGAAAACGAGTGAGAGTTTCTCTGGGATTGTAGAGAAAAATATTCTGCATCTTTTTATAAGCGCAAACTTTTTTGTGAGAGGTGTTCTTCGAGTAGAAACTGATTTCCAAGAAACTCCTAGCTTTCCAGCTATTTTACATGGTCGCTTCCATTTACCCCACTAACTTTCACGTACGGTTCCAATTACCCTAAATGGGGTAATCGGAAACGTTTGAAAATTTCTCAGCGTTTACCTTTTTAATTAGAGCTGAGGCTAATTAATGAGTAGAGCTGGGAGATTCTCACCATCTGTAGAGCAATAATTGGCCTATTCACCTGTGCAAAAATCATTAATTAGCATGATTAGCTTAACGAGAAAACTGTTTTCTACTGATGAACTATTTCCCGTGTAAAATACATGGCGTATCCAATTACCCCATCAATTTCTATTGCTGCTTCCAATTGCCCCAAGTGGGGTAATTGGAAATGTTCGTTAGAGCCTTCAGCAAAACACCGGGAAGTTCGCTTAGGACACACAGGTTTTTGAAAATGTTTAGACGGGCTTATAGAGAACTTCCTCCTCTACCTACCTGTAAAAAGAGCGCAAAAAGATAATTAAAATTAACAAAGTTATACGAATTAGAAGTCCAAAGAGCATAAAAGCGTTTCCAATTGCCCCAGTTTACTCTGTTTTATTTTGGCTTAAAACACTTTTGATTATCAACATCATTTATCTACTTCTCTTTGTCACGTTCTTAGTTAGAATATAAAGAAACTTTTTTCTTTCAAATGAAAAGATTATTTTACTGTTTTACATAAAAAACTTGATTTTCTACTGTGGAAATTAATAAAGTAAAATTGAAAATGTTGAATCAAATAATTAAATTTTTGCTCAGAGATGAAAACGAAAACGAACTTGTTTTTCTGCTTTATGAAAAATAATTTTCTTCAATGTCTAATTGATCGAGAGAAATTGAGGAAAAGAGAAACAAATATATAGAAGAAAAATATCAACGATAAATCTCATTTACCTTCATTGAAGAAAACTATTCTCCACAATCTCAACACAAATTTAATTCTCTTTTCACCAATTATTTTAATTGATATAAAATCATCATTTTCACTATGTTCAGTTATAAAATATTGATCATTACTTTTATTCTTTTGATCAACAATACATCAGGTAAACATTTTCATTCCCGTACAATTCCAAATCATCCATTGAGAAACTGAAATAACTATTACAGGTTTTAAAGATCTTAATTGGATAGCAGAAAGTTAAGCCACTGATTGTGAAAGAAGAAAAATAGAGTAGACATTCAACACACATTCGAAAATGTTGTCCGCAGTGGTCTTAAATCGCTAATAGGAAGAAGTGATCTTAACTATCTTGTAGAAAAAAAGATTTCTTACTTTTCGATTACCGGCGTAACCAAGGGATGACTAGGAGAAGCTCAGCCTCCCACTACCACTGGACAGAATTTGAGTAGCCAAAGCCAATCATCGTCAAAATTCTCATTACGCTTCTAAGCTTTTGTTTTCTAAAATAATTAAACCATCACATGCTTTTGTCTTCCTTTCCGGTTTTAGCTTTTTCATTCAATCAACCAAAATTTTGTCCAACAGCAGCTTGGAATCCATTCGGAATTACTTTTGCTAATCAAACAACAATTGGAGAAAAACCTCGCGCCATTTTCATCAATACGAACAATACAATTTATGTTTATGCAAACAGACAAATTTTAGTGTCGCATGAGGGTCATATCAATCCAACAAAGATCATTCCCATCAACTCTTCGACTTCAAATTCTATTTTCGTTACAACGAATGGTGATATTTATATTGATAATGATGAAGTTGTTCTTAAATGGATATCAAATAAAAACACATTTGACACTGTTATGAAGGCACAATGTTATGGTTTGTTTGTCGATATCAAAGATACTCTGTACTGTTCAATGCCTGATCTTCACCAAGTTGTGAAAAGATGGATGAATGATTCTGTTCTGACACCGACTATCGTAGCTGGGACAAATAGATCAGGATCTGCTCCGAATGAGCTTAATAATCCTTCTGGAATCTTTGTTGATGTGAACTTTGATTTATATGTGGCAGATTGTAAAAATAATCGAGTTCAACTGTTTCAATTAGGACAATCAATTGGCATCACAATTGCTGGAAATGGATCACCAAGTCCCACAATTTCACTTTCATGTCCAAGTGGAATTGTATTAGATGCCCAGAAATATTTATTCATTGTGGATTCTTGGAATGATCGTATTGTTGGATCAGGACCAAATGGCTTTCGATGTTTAGTTGGATGTCATGGACTTGATTCACAATCCCAT